AAAAAAACAAATAAATAAATCAATAGTGAACCATTATTTCTCAATTCAGAGTAATTTCATGAACGATTTGATACTTTTCATGTCTCGTGTTCAATCTTAAGATAAACTTGATCATTGTACTGTTCGATTTTAAATTTTAGTTAAAATAATAATTCAAATATATTACTATTTTGTCATATTAGTTAATTACTGTTTTGATAACTATTACGTAGATGGATAAATATGTAGATAAATCTTAAGTTTTGACTTAATAAGTCATGAATTTATAAAATTTTAAATACAGAATATGAATCTCAAGTTTTATATTATGAAATAGATGGTTAATTTAATATATTTTACTCATAAATATGATCCTAATCCAACACAAATTTTCGAAGATAATTTTATAGAACATAAGGACATATTTTTTCTATATTAAAGAAATACAGTACTTAAGAAGACAATGTAATTATAAGTACAACATTCTCTCTGCAAATATATTATAAAAAAATAAATAGTATTTAAGAAGAAACGTAATAATAAGTACAACATGTTAGTATAAATACTTTGTTTACTTCTTCAAACATTTAACCTGCCTTACATGAATGTGCATTTCTATAAAAGTTTGATAAGTAATAATACATTAATTAGGCATAAGGAGCGGATCAAGCTCATAAACTGTGGGGCCTCATTTATTTTATTTTTTATTTTTTAAATATAATAATCAAAATATAAAATTAAAACACAACTTCAAAGTTATTCTTATCTGTTTTCTTATGACGGTATCATAGTATATAATATCACTGAATATATAATCGCGATTTATTTTGGCCCAAAAATATTTTTATATCCAGTAAATTTAGAATGAAAGTAGCACATTTTGAAACATTTGCACATGCACTTTTTTGTCAAGACATTTTCTAAGAATATTTCTCCATATTTAATATTAACACATATATTATAATGTATAAAACATTTTATCAAATATATCAAACCTTTTAGAGCCATACAAATTTAATTATCAATTCACACACAAATTATAATATATAATGTTAGTTTTTTAAATAAATAAGAAACTACAATCAATTATCTACAAGAATACTAGAAATATGAAAGTGTTTATATTTTTTCATCAAATCTAATAAAACGAAAAGGTTTGATTTTCTTCCACCAAAATCATTAAGTATATGTATTTCCTTTCCCCATTATCTCCATCTTGTTTTATTTGTGTTAACTAAAGTATTGTTTCTTAGTTTTATTATTTTTTTTTATTAATAGATTATTAAGCAATTTATATAAGTCTTAATATCTAAGTCACAATAATTTTTTTTTTCAGTGTGGGCCTAAGGTCCATTTAGATATGCCCCTGTTAGGCATGGCCCTGAACCAGCCCGATAACATATACAAGACAGTTCAGTGTACCAACTGTACCGGCCCGTTGGTTCCGTGCGAAGCAATAAATAAAAAGAAAATAAAAATTAATCAAAAAATAATAAAATTTTTTTTAAAAAAATCATGAACCGCCTGTTCTTGTTTTGGTTCCTGTTCGAATCGGAAGAGGAACTGACAGTTCAAATTATTAAAAATCATGAACCTGAACCGGCCCGCGTAAAACTACGGGCCACTTTAAGGCCGTGGCCAACGGCCGATCGGGCCGGTTTTGGCCCGTGACATGTCTAACATTAATATATGCATTTAGTTTACACATCGAAATGTAGGTCCCACCAAGCCTAGACAAGAACTCAGACAAACATAAGAACAAAGGAAAGATTTACATATCAGAGACAAGCTCGGATTGCGTGTCGAAGGCTTACCTGGCCCAGTTTCGGAAGGATGTCTTGGATTTCCTAAGATGTCGGGCCCAAGAGATAGTGGGCGGCGGCGGTATGATGATATCGTTAATGGGCCGTGTCTCGCCCAATGCCTCTGCTGAAGTGGGCTGCTATCAGTGGGAACTCCTTGCTCAAGCTCTCATGTCCATGGTCCCTCAGGTGCACATATATGTAATCAAATAGGATTAAGTAATAATAATAATAATAATAATAATAATAATAACATAAAAAAAGGAAAAAAATGTAGACTGAAATCAGTATAGCAATTTATTTGTTTAACTATTTGTTTTGTGGACTTTGTAGGGACTTGTCCACGAAGAGGATATCGACTCTTTGAATGTTCCGTATTACGCGCCGTCACCTAAAGAAGTAAGAGATATAATCCAAGAGGAGGGTTCGTTTGTCATCAATCATTTAGAGGCATTCGAGATCAATTGGGATGAAGGAACCGAGCGTGAGTGCCACGATTACGAACTAAAAATATCATCGAGGGGCCAACGAGTTGCCAAGACAATTAGGGCAGTGGTGGAACCAATGTTTGAGTCCCATTTTGGAAAAGGCCTCATGGATGAGTTATTTGTTAGGTATGGTCAATTGGTCGACGGCTATTTTTCTAAAACTCACCCAAGGCATATAAATCTAGTCATTTCAATGACGCGAAAAGATTAAACCAAATGATGATATGTAGAAGTACGCATAATTAATGACATGCCACGCCTAAATGAAACATAAATCATCATCATTGATTTTACCAATTTATTGTTAAATTGTTAAAATAAGCGGTCCACCATTTTGGCGTTTTTATTATGAAAAACTAGTAACCATCCCGTGCTATGTACGGTCGAATTTGTACCTTAAAATCTTTTGTAAAACTTTATTTTAACAATGTATTACCCTGTTGACCCATTTATTTTAATATAAATTATATTTTAAAAAATATATTTGTTTTTTATACATAAATAATAATTAAAAAATTCATAGTTTGCAGCAAGGAAGGATTTAAACTACAATCCAGACACCAAAATTCAGCAGGAGTTCAACGAGAGTGTGTTTCAAAAAGAATTCGTTGCATGGCTCGAGCACTGTTTGAATACGATGATGGAAAAAGATACAAAATTACATATTTCGAAGAAAAACACAGCCACAGTTTGATATTGGAAGCACATTATTTGAATGCAAACATGCAACTGAATTATGGCCATCAGAAGTTTGTCGTTAATTGTGTAAAAGCCAACATTGGACCTGCTAAAACACACAGGTTATACAAGGAAATGGTTGGAGGATATGAAAATGTTGGTGCTCTGGCAACTGATTTCAAAACCTTCAAAAGGGAACTTATGACTTACATGTCGGGGGCAGATGCACAACTCATCATTCAGAAATTTCTCAACAAGCAGGAAGTTTACCCAGACATTGCATTTGAATATGTTGTGGATGAAAATAATCAATTAAGCAGGATCTTTTGGGCAGACCAAATTTCTAGAAAAAATTACCTCATGTTTGGAGATGTTGTTTCATTTGACGCAACCTACAACACTAACAGGTACACAAATCATTTCCCTTGACTTGCTCTAATTTATATGTAATGTATGTTTTTTAGTAGCATGTGAATTAAACTGACTTTACAACTAGATATAACTAACCTGGCAATAAAAGATAACTAACCTAGCTAGAGTAGAGAACTAACCTAGCATCATCAAACAACTAACCTAGCAACAACATACAACTGTCATTACAACATGATAAAACTAACCTAGCAGCTGCAAATAACTAAACTAGCAGCTACAGACAGCTAACCTAGCACCAACAGACAACTAACCTGACAACAAACATACAACTAACACTCCAACATGATAAAACTAACCTGGCAGAGATATATAACTATCCTAGCAAAAACAGACAACTATCCTAGCAAACAACAGACAACTAACATAGCAACCAAAAACAACTAACCTAGCAACTACATAGAACTAACCTTGCAAGTAATATGCTACTTCATAATTTCATTTATTATTCTGGTTTGCTTTCTATCTTTAAACAGGTACAAAATGGTGTTTGTACCATTTACAGGAATTGATAACCATAAAAAATGTGTCACATTTGGAGCTGGATTGATGGTTAAAGAGGATGTGGAATCATACATTTGGTTATTGGAAATTTTTTTGAAAGCTATGGGAAATAAACCATATTACATTGTTACTGACCAAGATCCTGCTATGAAGAATGCAATTCAGGCGACTTTCAAACAGGCAAGACACCGTTTGTGCATGTGGCATATCATGGAAAAGGTAAATGTAAAGGTTGGTCCTACATTAGCCAAGGATAATAACTTCGTCAAAAGGCTGAATGAAATTGTGTGGGATATTTACATCAATCCTGACGAATTTGAAGAAAAGTGGAGAAAATTGATGTATGATTTTGCCTTAACAGAGAATAAGTGGTTTAACAATCTATTTCAGATTAGAAAATCGTGGATACCAACATACTTTAAGGATGTCAAAATGGGTGGCCTACTGAAAACAACTTCTAGGTCTGAGAGTGTTAATAGTTTGTTCGGAAGTTACATATATCCTCAAGCAAACTTAGTTGAGTTCTTTATGCATTTTGAAAGTGCAATGGATTCACAAAGGTATGTTATAAGGAAGCTGAATCATGAATGTGTGACTGCATCTCTTGAGTGCAAGACACCGTTACAAATTGAAAACATGCTGCAAAAGTTTACACAAAAACAGTGTTTTCAGAGGTGCAAATGGAGATTGAAGCAGCATGTTTCAGATGTGTGTATGTGCATATTGAGAAGGAGCATGAAACAACCAGATATAAGGTTGTAGAAGTTGGTCGAGATGGTATTGACTTCATTCTTAATAAGTGCGGGGATTGGGTAGATTGCAGCTGCAAAAAGTTTCAACAGTTTGGATTGTTATGTCGTCATGCAATAATGCTAATCAAGGATTTAGAAAGAATACCAGAGAAATACCTCCTCAATCGTTGGCTTAAGGTTGCTTCTTCTGGACATCGTATTGATAATGCAAGATTAAATCCACTTGATGGCAAAAATCAGAAAAATGCATATCTAAACAATCTATGGTCTGATTTTTATTGTTGTATAAGTCTTGCTGAAGATAATGATGATAAATTGGAATGATTATCGAGGATTATAAATGAAGAAAAGAACCATTTGTTGGGTGCACATCAATTTTCAAGTTCAATACTAAGTAAAGGAGTTGTGATACAAGAGTTCTGTGGATCTGTTTCAAATCTCGAGGTTGATATCCTGCCACCAAAGCAAGCAAAAAATAAGGGGAGCGAAAGCAGTTCAAAAAGCCGATTGTTGTCACAACGAGAAAAATCTATCAAAGAAAGTCAAAAGTTGAAAAGACGTTGTGGAAAATGTGGAGAGGTGGGAAATCATAATAGTAGAACTTGTAATAAGACCAGTGACATTTCTGCTTGTAATAAATAGAAATTTGATGTGTTGTTATTGCATCATATTATTTCAGAAAACATAGCATGTTCATACAACTAACCTTGCAACGAAATTGAACTAACCTAGCAGCATTAGACAACTAACCTAGCAAAAAAAAAAAACTAACCTAGCAACATTACCAAAAATAACCTAGCAGCATTAGATAACTAACCCAAAAACTATAAAAAACTAACCTAGCATCAATAGACAACTAACCTAGCAACAAATAGACAACTAACCTAGCGGGAAGAAAGAAATAACCTAGCAAAAAAAAAAGCAACTAACCTAGCAACAAGAAAGTAATAACCATGCAACTTACAACACCTTTCTCTCTCTAAAACCTAGCTCCCGTCGCCTCAACCACCACCGCATCCACCATCCCTCCTCCGTCTCCACCACTACACCCGCCTAGTCGTCGCCGCCGGCCGCCATTCCGGCGGCCACCCCGGTCACCTAGCCTTCGGGCCATTCCTCTTTCCCATTTCAACACCTTTTCCTCTCGCTACTTATGGCTCCCCCGCACCTGCCATTTACGGACCTCCCGTCAACAAATCCCCAACATACAATCAATATCTCACCGGAAATCATCAACCTTCTAAGCCTACCGGAATTTCAACAAGCAATCGCAGGTTTTTTGGGCAATAATTTTCGGACCGAAGAAGGACATACTCCGCCTCCTGTGACTGAAAATACGTGCGACCCCGTCGCCGGAAAGTCAGACCTCCATTCGGCAGGAAAACGTTGGCCAGTCACGTTTGGGTCTTTACCGACTATCTCGTCGGTCACTCCAGTCCAAGCCATTGAAGACGGCTGTGCAGACAACAAAAACCCGCAGCTGCTCACTAGCGTTAATCCTGGCCGAAACGATCCGAAACAAAAAAGTGGGCCCTATCTTCAGCTGTCGGAACATGCCGCGACGGAGAAGAAGATTTCCGCCGCTGCCTCTCCGATCTTGACTGGTCAACACCCCAGCTCCTCTCCCCTACCTTCAATTGTCGGCCAAGTGGTAGGGTTGAGTGAAGACGTGGCTAACCCTCAGCTCAATGCCAATCCTTTGGGCCATTTCGAAACTTTGGGCCATATCAATAATTCCCTTACTAGGCCCAACCCAGGTACTTTTTCTATTCTTCATGCACAACCCCCTCGGCCCATCTCCAACTCCCCACAATCCGAACAGATCTCCCTTCCCTCAGCCCAATCTCAACCTCAGGACATCATTACAGGCCCATCTCTTAACATCTCTCATACTCAACCAAATTTAACCCAACATGCCTTCACCAAAATTAACCCAACCGAGGCCAATATCTTACATACTCAGACGGCCGTCAACACTCCTCCGACAGGCGGGTTTCAACTGACTTTCGCCGCCCTGCCGGCCGCCGGCGACGGCGACGGCGACGGCCATGTAACCGGATTATCCAAAAACGCCGTTAACCACCCCGGGGACACACCCGCTACCCAAGCCATGATATACCTGCCCAACCCGCTACTCGCTACCCGACACCGAGCGGCCCCCGGCAGCACACCAGCGAACGATGGCCCACCACCAACGTCCGGCCAGAAATCCGGCAACACATCCGGCAACCACAGCCGCACCCCCGCCGGCGCCCCCTCTCCGGCGGCCGGTTTACTTGGGCCTGGACCTACTCTACCGGCTACAAACACCTTTTTGTCTCGCGGCTTTCCCTACACAATCACCGGAGCACCTCAAATTGTCCAGCCCCCGACGGGCCCTTCCCGCACACCCTCATTACCACCCCTAGCGGGCCTCTCACCGACAGGCACTAGTTCCGAACAAGTCATCTTATACGTTCGTGAAGATGGAGTGGTTGTGGAGGGATCACAACCGACGACTGCGGGCCCACCTACGGGCCCACCTTCCTTCCGCGACGCTATCACGGGAAAAAAATATGGCAGCTCGAGCTCCCCGAGCCCAACACCGAAAGATTTCCCATTTAACGGGAATTACGAACATGCCTGCGGTACCATCATCCGCTCGGATAATAACAAAGTGAAGGCCCGTTTCACCGACGCCGAATCTGGAGACCTGGCAGGTAAACTAGATAACACTCTGGTATTTAAGTTTTCATATGCTATCCCCGCCCCTCGAGATATATCTGCTGGATTAAGGAAATTGGGTTTTAAGGGTAGTGTTTCATCGAAGTGGTTTAACTTTAACCACCTGTTAGTGTCTTTCCACCTCACTGAGGATTATAATGAGGTCTGGCTCAAGACCTTGATTCATTTGTGTGGATGCCCAGCTAGGGTGTTCAAATACTATGTC